TAGCAGAAAGGGTACACATATCGAAGCCGAATCGGTAGTCAGCCGACTCCACGAATAAATTTATCAGTAAGAAACGCAAAAGCGTGGAAAAATAAAAAAATATATTTTGTTAGTTATTTAAGTTAATTATGTAGTTTGGACCATCTATCCAAAACGGATCTCAAAGTTGAGATATATTTATTAGAAACATTTATTTATCGATGAATAATTGCCTAGAAGCGAAAAAAAAGTTTTAATGCTATGAAACAAATTTAACTTGGTCTTTTCAATTCTCGATTCTTAAGTGCTTGTATCGAGATGCTAAACATAGATATAAAATGTTTTGGGGGCTAAAAAAAAGTGAATATAAAACTTTTATATTCACTTTTCAGCCCCCAAAACATTCTATATCTAGGTTTACATTTTATATCTAGGAAAACTTGATGGATCTTTTCGACAACATGTTTTTTTTCTGTTGATATAACTATCGGTTATTTAACCTGCTACTTTTCCAATGAGCACGTGGCCTATTTAAGAGTATTTAGGGTGACATTAAATCTCTAACACTCCTCCCGTGGAGTTGTGAACTTCATCTCCACTCATCAGTTCCACTCACAACTAATCCATCAAGTTATATCTCAAAACTTCACGTATCGCACCTGCTAGTGCCAGATCTCATAATGCTAGAATAAAGGAATCAATCCCTTTGTAATCCCCCCGCACGTTATATGCCAATCAAGAAACGTATTTGCGCAGTTTTTTTTCTAGTCTGGGTGTGGGGACACCTGACAGAGTTCTGTGACTTCTGTCGCGCCTAAAATAGTCGAAAATCTGATCAAAATACTCGTGCCCAGATCAAAATATTTTAATTAAGGTAACTTAATTAACAAAAACTTCCGCAAAAAACCTTCACCTGAGGAAGACGTAACAGTCATTGTTTTCAGCTGTGTTTCTTTTCTACCCGCGGTAGAAAAGAATTATTTTAGTTCTTGTTTCATTTATTAATTTAGTCATTAAAGTAAAAAAAACAACGCCATTTTGGGCAATAAAATTTATAAAAGGAAGTTTTGGTACAGCGGAAGTTTTCAGTGATTGTTATGTGATTGTTTTTCTGGTCAGGCATTGACGATACTTATCACGTGAAAAGAATAAATATTAATTTAAATTCTAAGTAATTTCATTATTGAACCATTGTTGCGACATAATTTTCTAGTTAGCGCAAATCGCTCGGAGTAATCTAGGTCGCCAAGAGTTCCGATCTGTATATTTTGGGTTGCGCAATGCCCTGCGAAGTAATCTTTGATGGCGCTAGGTCGCAACATATATATTTTGGTTGCTACAGCTGTGACATTCCATTTCGAGTCGAAACCATAGCGACATACCCATTACGAACGTGATGATCGCGACATAAGTCGTGTACCGCCATCCCGAAGGTAATCTTCGACCTTGACTAAGTGTTAATATGTTAAGATGATTTATCACGATGGAAAGGACTAACATACAAGCTGTACAGCTCGTCACAGAGAACCGCTGTTGTTCCCCTGCTTTGGAACTACATGCAATTTTTTTGTTTTTTTTTGGACTGGGTTGCGTCGCCCTCATGCAACGAGCACGGATCATGTTCGGCGTCGAACATCCGACCGTTCGATTGAGAGGCGGAGAAGTAACCACTTCACCACAGCTCCCCTAGTGATAATGAGAGTTAAACGCCGGAGTTAAACGCGGATCAGCGCGCTGGTTTTCAAAAATGTTTTCGAACTTTTTCGTAGGTCGCCGAGTTTTTTTTCTGAACTCTCCCAATAGACTATGAAAACCGTGTTTTGAGTTTTTTGCGCCGCAGGCAAGTTTTTGGAAAAAACAGTCCAAAAGGCGTTTTTGGGCACATTTGGAAACTTTTGAAAAAATTGCGTTTTTTTTCGGCGCCCACCGCCCCCCCCCCCTCCCCCCCCCTCAAAATTAAGATATTAGAAATTTAGAAAAAAATTATTGTAGATCAGCCAATAGAGAAAATTACATAAAAAATTGTACTGTTTTTATTCAAGATTTGTCACTGAAAATATGGAGGAAAAAAATTGCGCGTAAAATAATCCGAGACAACTTCTTTGACATACGTTTTTGGATTTCGAATCTTGGCATGATAAAACGATACCAAATTGGATCACCTAATAGTGTTTTTTGAGGTACCAGATATTGAAAGAAAAAACATCCCATGTCAAAGTTTTTCTCTCTCCATAGCGATGGTCTAAAAAGCCAGAGTTAACTGCTGTGGAGGATCGCGTCCAGACAATTCGGCCGAAGACAATTCAGCCGATTTGAAAATCAGACAATTCAGCCAAAACTATGCAGACAATTCAGCCAGAGACAATTCAGCCAATAAAAGTGACCGCCGCAGTCGCGCCAACGTGTTGAGACCTTGCCAACAGAGGGTAAGACTCTATACGAAATTTAGAGCCGGTTATCGCCGCGAAGCGGCGACGCGCGTGTAGCGTGCCTACCTGCCACCTTAAACCGAGAAATAACTTCAATTCCGATTTTTTTCTTTCAAATCTAGCGTTATGTAAAACTGGCTGAATTGTCTCAGGCTGAATTGTCTGTATCTTTTTGGCTGAATTGTCTGAATTTCAAATTGGTTGAATTGCCTTTAGCCGAATTGTCTGTGCGCCGTGGAGAATGTACAGAATGTTTCGACCGCAAAAATTTTTGTCAAAATTGTAAAATTGGTAACAAATTGGCATACAACAAAAAAGCAAAATTTAAAACTGAAAGTCTTTGGTTCAAAAAAAAACTTCCAAGACGCCCCTTCCTCAGGAATTCGACCCCTGCCAACCCAAAGGGTCTCCCTTTGTACTATTGTGAGATATCCATATTTGGCGACCGACCTAAAAATTTTCTAACGGCGCCTTAGGCGCCAATATATACTCATTAGTGTATATCTTAAAAATTAATCATAGAAAAAATAATTCTTCGACATAGGGCAGGTTGGCTTTGATCAAGCTCGCTATATTTTTTGATCAAATTGATTGTACCGCATCAATTTTTCAAGAAAAACTATTGAACATTTTTGATTGCTTTTGATTGACACGTACTAGATAATCATTTATTGTGACAAAGTTAGACTACCCATAATGGATTTTAAGGCCAAAACAGTCGATTGTTTTTGAAAAACAAAAATCTACTATAGCTCATAACAATCGGCTATAATTTTTTTTTATTCAGTATAATAGATTATGTTTTATTAAAAAAATTTCATGAAAGATGTTAAACACTTTCGAACCAACTTTTGTTCGACGCCCGCCCCTAATTACTACCCCTCACCAGTTACTCCACCAGGTCTCCCCGACAATCTATCTCCCCTAATTTCAACCCCCTTCCCACCAGGTCCCCCACAATATCTCTCCCGCCTGGTCCGCAGCATCCCTTCCGCCTGGTTTTCCATAAATTAAAATGGAATACATTTTTTTCTACAAAATTTTGAAAAAAGCCGAGTATAATCGATTTTTATTGAATAAAAATCCAATACATAGCTTTGAAGAACAGTATTGTTATAATCAATTTTAAATCAATTATAATCAATGTTTTCGAGTTGTTGAGAGAACGACAAAAAAATCCAATGTAATGGATTATTTTCCATGAGTTTTCAGCGCGGTTGCGTTTGATCAAGTTGGACACCTGTTTTCACTTCGTTCATCATATTTTTCATCTACCATTTTCCAATGTGAACAAGTAGACCTTTTCTACGTAAATTTTGGCGGTTTGTTTGACTTATGTTTCCACTATGCTCTAGGTATAATTCTGATTTAAATTATCTGAACAAAACCCATTCAACTCGAAATTCAATCCGCGTTTTTCTCAAATTAGATAGACTTCAAACAAAAAATGTGGAGACAAAACTTGCTTGTTACTTTAGCAGAATTAAAAAAGGGTAGTTTGTTTTGCATCATTTGAACCTAAAATTTCACAACAAAAATGCCGAAACTACTTTACGCCGAAACTACTGAGTCAATTAATGACAAAAAACCATATTAAAGTGAACTTTTTTGTTGGGCTACGTACTTTTGTCAGTAGTTGACTCGGTAGTTTTAAGGTAATTCCTGAGTGACTAAAAAAGCTTAGAATGATCCATTTTGGGTTTTTTGGGCACGAATTTTGCAAAACAAATTGCACTTTATTAATTCGAGGTCTGTGTCAACCAAGCTCGTGGTATGGGTCGATCACAATTGATTACAATTGAACCATGGGCTTGACTCGATTCGGTGTCTAGTCTTCAGAGTTTTCTTCAGAGCACAATTAAATTTGAAATTTTGACTAAAGGAAACTCGAAGGACTTGAAAACTGATGCTCATATTGAGCTTCTTATCTTGATTTAGTTTTTACTTTTTTTTTCATAGAGGACTATGTAAGTTGACCTATTTTTCAAGTTTAATTTAAGGCTCCGCCCTCTGTCGGAGATGAGAGCAGGGGCGGATTTAGGGTTTTCTCGGGGAGAAGGATGTTCAATAATTTGTCGAAAAATTTGACCACCCTTTTTTTAGGTCGGCTAAAAGGTTTAAAAAAAACCAGATCAAAAATGCCATGTTCGGACAATTTTTGGAAGATTGTTGCCAAAATTTTGCGTTTTTTGGCGTACGCTTTACCTCAAAACAGGGGATGATTTAGGGGTGGGGGGGGGGGGGTGGCGACGCCCCTTCTCAGGGATTCGACCCCCTGCCGACCCAAAGGGTCCCCCTTTGTACTATTTTGCGATTTCCATATATGGTGGCGGACCCTAAAATTTTCCAAAGGCGCCTTCGACGCCAATTCATACTAATTTTGAGGGGGTAAAAACTTTCCAAAATTTCTGCCTTTTTAGAGATGGTCGACAGAAAATTGATGATATAAAATAATAACATATCGGGGACCTTTTGGATTGTTAGGGGGTCCATTTACTGAGGCAAAAGGCGGCTGAACTCCTACCTCCCCCACACCCAAAGTTCCGCCTAGTTTCCGCTGTTGTTTTCAGCGTATAACTGAGAACGGCCAGCAGAAACTATGAACTACGTTGTTGTTTTCCGCCCGATTTGGAAAGTTCAAAAAAGTTCGCCAGGGAAACAAGTGTGGTATTAAAACAAAGGTTAAAACTATTGATCGTGGTCGGATTCGAAAAGAAAAATAAAAACGTCTCAGTGACCAGAAAACTTAGTTCAATTTTTCCATTTTCAGCTAAAGGGCAACAAGTTTACACGTGGACACGATGTGCGATGAGGCCCCAATTTAATATTTAAACAATTTATTTACGCATTACAATCTCCCCTTCTTGCAAGTATTCTCCTATTTCGGTCTCCTTGACTCAACATAAATAACAGGAAAATTAAAAAAAATTTGCTTGAAATTTTTTGATTGTTTTTTTTTCTTATGTTGAGTTATCTTACTTGAATCATCATGGAGAGAGCATTCTGTGCTGCTTGATTTTGGTCCACATTTGTATTTACCACAAGGATGAGAATAAGATTTATTTAAAAATTTAACTATAGGGTGTTTCAACTATAAAAATGTGGTATTTTGGATTACTATCAACAATTCAGTTATGAGCGTATAAAATAAGTTGTTAATCACCTCTACAATCGTACCGCTGACCAGTTTCTCTTAAGCTCTTTTAATCTCTCAAAATCAAATTGAACTTTATTCAAAATGAGTAAAAAGACTCGAGGAATACCCGTGTCGACTGAGATTAAATTTATCTCATTTTTCAAGTTGAATACAGGAAAAACAATCAAGTCCGTTTATTTATTTTTCCTTAATTGCGCAAATTGTTCTCATATTGTCAATCTAAAGTTAGTTATTCAATCAAAAAATGATAATATTTATCGCCTCTAGAGCTAATGTACATCCTATTTATACTGAGTTTTTATCAAGTATTTAAAATACCTTATGGCTACAAAAGCGGATGAGCAAAAATATTAAAACTTCAAATCAATTAAGAGCTAAAAGGATGGAAACATTGTGAAATGATAGTTTGTTCAGCAACCGGAAGCCGTGGCGCCAAAATTTCTTCAATTTTAAGTTTTGGTGTTATCTAAAACCTTTATATCCTCTCGGTAAAAAACAAGTCAAGTCGGTAAAAACAAGCAAAATAGCGGAAAAAAGAGCCCAAAATTGAAAAGTCAATATGAGCGAGGACACGGATGATAGTGGATTTGCCGATTTTGAAAAACTGATTTAATAATAGTGGATTTTGTTAAGGCCGACTGAACGAAATTGATTTTTCGGACTCCCCTCGAAAGACCCTATCCTGCCTAAATATTGCATGCAGCAGGTAAAGTTTTGAAAAATTGTGCCATAAATTAATTAGGTTTTTCGGCTGGATTTTCTTTCTCCTTACAATTCGTGAAAAACGGCATTGACAAACC